CTCTCTCTCTCTCTCTCTCTCTCTCTCTCTCTCTCTCTCTCTCTCTCTCTCTCTCTCTCTCTCTCTCTCTCTCTCTCTCTCTCCCCCCTTGTACATGTTTGTTTCCATCTGCTGCCCTTCTCCACATTTTTCTCTCCCTGGCTCAGTAACAACTCTGCCCACTCTCTACGTGCGCGGTAGTGTTGTGTGTCACGCGCTGGTCTTTTGATGAGCGGTATCTTTGTAACCTGGTCATCCTTTCCCCCTTCGACCAGCCGATGCCTGGGCTTTCATCTGTCCTGATCTATTTATGTTCTTCTGTGTTCTCTCTTCTCTCTGATTACAGAGGCCTGCTCGAAAAAACGGTCGCTTGTCGAGAGATTCTGATTCATAGCGCTCAGGGTGGGCGCATGTGAGCTTCCCTCTCGAGAATGAGGGGTTCACAGATGGATGTGACCGCTCACATGTGACCAGTGGGCACAGGCGAGCACTCGAGGGGCAACCTGACACAACCGTTTTTTCCCTTTTTTTCGGTACACAACCATTATCTGCTCTCGGACCCCTCCATAGCGAGCTTTTTTCTTTTTTGTTTTTTTTCTTTTTCGCCCCCTTTTTTCGAAATATCATTTGGCAAGTCGCCATTCTGAGGATGATAAGAGCATCCCCCATAAAATTGCGATAATGCGCGCCGAACATTTTACTTGCCCGCATTTGAAAGCTAGCTGGCTGACGAACAAGGCATGAAGCAAAACCGCTGATCATCTCACTGTACCGACCGGCTTTCGCTCTCGGCTATCGGCTATCGGCTATCGGCTATTTTTCGCTATCGGCTCTTGCATCTTGCGGCAAAGCGCTGCAATCTATCTCCCCCCCACCCCCCTCCTCCCCTTCCTTTCAAAATTCCTACCCTCTTTTCCGCCGACTCACAGTATTATATTTGTTGACGTGGCCCATTGGCCGACTAACTGTCGTTTAATTTCTTTTTAATTATTTTTTTTGTCTGTTGTTTTTGGCTGAGGGGGGGGTTTCTGAGGGCCATTTCTCACGACTAAGATGTGTGCCAGACTTTAAAAAAAAACATAAATAAATCTGACCCGTCAATACGGAGAAGATCACGGCAAAGACTTGAGAGAGTGCTTTACTCATCAGCCGGCCAAAGGAAACGTGGCCCTGCTTTGCTCAGATTTGCTCAGGCATGGTTTCGCTCGTATGCATCACAGTGCGCACTCACACACTAGTAGCTCTATATCTTAAATGTAGCTGACCGCATTTACGGCCGGATGTGGATGCATCTGACCACAATCACATCCAGAAATAAGTGAAAAAGTCCTAGTAGTGCGAGTATGCATCGCAGTGCGGCTGTCTCCGTCGTACCGACAAACACTGGCACAGCATTGTCAATTCTGGAAGGCCATGATACTTGTTTTTGTTGTTGTTCTTTCTTTCAAGGCAATGATACTAGGGGACTGGCAGAGGCACGAACGAGCGAAAGGCTGGTGAGCCTCTGCCCTCTATATCTTTTTTTTGCCGTTGAGGACTCTTGCCTGCTTCATCTTCTCTTGCCCCCCAATTCTAACTCCTTCCTTTTGCCCCTCATCGCAATGATTGCCTAATTCCATCATGATCTTCTAAAGGCCCCGCTTGTCAGATCTGTCAAGTTGGATTGATCTGCGTAATTAGTCAGCTCCAATGATTGCCGCCTATGCATTGATTGACGCTCCAGCTGATTACAACAGCAGCGCAGCGGATGGTAAGCAAAGCTTCATCCTAGCCGAGGGCGATCGCTAATGTTCCCGCCAGGACCACCGTCTATCAACCTCGGAACCCACTCTTCCATACTACCTCCCTAATCCATACTCCCTTCTTCTCTTTTTCGTCCTCCACGTTCCCCATTCTTTCCTGTTCCGCCTCGCATTCACTTCACCTCTCTCTCTCTCTCTCTCTCTCTCTCTCTCTCTCTCTCTCTCTCTCTCTCTCTCTCTCTCTC